GACAGAGCAGATTGACTCTGATAGGCAGAAATGAGATAGATGTCTAAGCACGAGCATCCTTGTTTGACCCTGGAGGTCTGAATTCCCCAGGGAGGTGTGTCCCAGGAAGAGCACAGACCCATCTACTAAATATTGCATTTCAGTAGGTACAAGGACAGTGAGAAGGATTTTTCTTTTCATCTTTAGAAAAGTGCCCTGACCAACCACTCACAGTGAGGGGCATGAAAACAAGGATTTCAAGCTACTTATTAGCCATCTACAAAAGCCCACAGGTTTACTGGGTACTCCAGTGTTCTCTGGAAGCTTGATTTTCAGCTGTTTTCCTCAGTGTCTGCTAAAACCTTGCTCTTAACAGCCCCTTCTGCTTCAAGAGTTACAGGATTGTAACAGAGCAGAGAAAAAATTCACTGGCCCCGTCTCTCATTTTAGTTTTAGGTAAACAGAATTGCACTATAATCCTGATCTTGAGAAACCAATTCCCTGGCACATTTATTAATGCTGCCTACATTATCCTTCAGCCTTGGAAAGGGGACAAACCTCAGCTCAAGACAGGAGGAAGGAACATGTGGAAGGGAAATTAAGCTACTTAAGAGTTCTTGTTCTTGGCAATAAATGCAAGAAGACAAGATTGTAATTATCTAGTTTATTGCTATACATAAGCAATTTTTTTAGTAGCTTAGTTTTTAGTAAATCTTTCCAGGACATGACAGTCAAATAACTATCTGAGAAAGCAATCTCCTTTGTGCACAAAATCCAAATGATATGAAGATCACAGAATAGCTTGGGGTAGAAGTGCCTTTAAAGCACATTTAGTACAAGTCCCACTGCCAGAGGCAGGGACATCTACTAGACCAGGTTGCTCAAAATCTCATTAAAGCTGGCCTTGAACACTTCCAGGAATGGGTAGAAGCTGTAGCTGCTCTTGGGAGCCAGAGCCTCACCACCCTCACAGTAAATAATTTCTTCCTGACATCTAATGTAAACCTACAGGCAGTTTCAAGTCATTGCCCCCTTGTCCTGTCACCACATGTTCTTGCAGAAAGTCCCTCTCCATGTTTCTCATAGATTCCCTTCAAATACTGGAAGGCCACAATTAGGTCACCTTCTCATTTCCAGGCTGAAAAACCCCAATTCTCTCTCCCCATCTGGCACCACCATAACTTTCTCCAGAACTAGTACTGTGCAAACAAGCAATTACTTAGTAGGAATTTCTAGGAACCTCCAGAATTACACTCTGCTAGTGTAAAATCTTCTAGCAGCAGCCTTGCTTTTCCTTTGTGGATGTATTTTAGGAAATGTACACTGAGAAATACCAGCTCATCACTCCCTGTATGGGTTGTGGTGTGCAGCAAAGGAGTCAACCTGGTGAGACAGCGTGTGCCACTGATCCTTAGACAACCCTGTTACTAAGGGCAATTTTCAAGACTGATTGATGGATCTATTGCTTCAGAGCTCAAGTTATGATTCTTCAAGAAAAGCAGAAATAAAGAACCAAAACTGTTGGCATTTGAGATATTTAGGCTGAAATACTAGCAATTATTATTTTTCTCAGGAGAAATGCCTGGCACATATTATATTTGCTGCCACGCCAGTGTAGCCTTCCAAAAGATGCAATCAAATAAAATTCAGCATATTTGCAAATGTGGAACTGCATTTAATGTATCAAATGAACTTTGTACTGGATGTGGTTCAAAGAGTAAACTTGGTGTAATTTGTTCTGTCTCAGAAAAAAGCGTTCCAAACCAAGAGCTTTATTTTCTGTTCCAAAGGGCAAGTTACAGCACCATCACTGCTGCATACCTTTCCTCCTCCCTTTCCACAGCTCCAGCCTCTCTGGATGGTTTTTGTTTCTTTCTTGCATTCGTGATCTTAGGTTTTGCAGTTTCAAGCTGGAAGAAAATCCAGGAATACCAAAACCCAACCCTTTGCTCAGTTGCTATGAACAAAATGAAAAGTGAATGTTCAGTAAAAAAATTAAAGAAAAATATTTTGCCACCTTTAATTCTCATTTACACAGACCTCACCAAATAAACAATGTGTTCTTCTCCACCCAATCTGCCAAAGGATGACTTTGAAGCTGGAAGAAACACCTCCTTGGCAGTGTTTTGTTTTCCCTTTCTTAGAGAGTATTTGCAAGAAGAAACACGATAGAAGTAACTCAGCTCTCAATTTCTTCTGTATTTTGCATTCACAAATGTCCGTCCAAGAAGAATTTGAGCTGTAAACATACCTGAAGTGGCAAGGTGCTGTGTCAGTGGATAAAGTGAGGGGCTGGGGGGACAAGGCTGGGCCAGCCATTTGCCTGTCCCTCTGCTAGTCACCCAAGCAGCATCTGCACAAACTGTATCAAAACTTCTTTGTGATTATAAGAGATGAAACAATGGCACCTGCAACTCTGGTCAAACAGAAAATACCCTTTCAAACCCAAGCATGAGATACCACCTGGGCTTTGCACACACCAGCCAAGCTTTTATGCCATTTCACCGAAACCTGAAAGTCTTTGCATGAAGACCAACACATTGTTCAGCATCTCCTGAGCCACTAGAGCTCTTTTAAAGGTTCATCCATCTGCCTCATAAAGGGACAGTCTGTCCATTGTGCCATACATTTCCCACATTATGCAGCTACCAGCTAAGCTCCTTTGATGCTCTAGTGCCTAAGGTACTGCCAGTTGCTTCCTTTCTTCCACCAAGAAACTGCCCACTACAGATAAGGCAGCAGAAAATTACCCTTACACTAATTTCAGGTTAGAAGCCAGGCTAAGAAATCATATCTTAGAACAAATGGGGTTGTTTTACTTTTAAACTATAGAGAACAAAAAAAATCATCTCAAAGCAGACACGAGAAGCATTCACCTCTCTGAAATAATATCCAATTTACAGCCATATGCAATTTCAGCCCACAGATTATGTTGGAAACTTGAATCCACAAATTTGGCCATGTAAACAGTTCTGCCGTGGGCATGTGTTCTCACTGGCTGCTGAGAGGAGCAGTGGTGACTCTGAGGCCAAGTTTTTGTTGTACTTGCAGATATAAACCTGTACACAGTTATGTGTACAATAGCTTCTCCCTTGAGCAGACTCTGCACCATCCCAAAGTACTTCCCCCAGGGTATTTCTATTTCTCCCGCAGATAAGAGATATACAAGAAAGAACAAAAACAACAAACCATGTTCTACTCTAAGCAAATTTTGCTTTTAATTTAAACAAATCCCTAAACTGAGGGAAAGTTGATTTTCAGTGTGATTGTATTAACAGCTTATCCGTACAGCAAGTTACCTGTTAATGATCCTGGTCACACTCACCATCTTTTCCAGCAGAATCCGCTTTGTCTTGTCTTCAGGCAGTGGCACAATCAGCTGAGTGGATCAAACCCTGATCCCCAAGAAGAGTAGCTGGTCTCACAAACCAGCAGTAGTTCAAAATTCACTTGGTTTCTTTTTCTAGCATCTGCTCACCCAAGAGCATGACAAACTGACCTCACTTAGTACATTTAAATTGGAGAGAGGCTTTTGGTCAAATGCTCTTCTAGTCTAATGCAAGAACCTGGTGTGTCACCTAAGTGATGAGAAGAATCAGTGACTTTACCACTACTCAGCCTGCCAGCATTTTGCTCACCTTCCAGCTGGATGTGGCAGCACACACCAGGTTCCAAACTGGCTGTCCTTCACACAGCATGGACAAGTTTATCCTCCACAGCTAAAAAAAAAAAATGCATGCAGGTTCAGCAGCATCCCCTAAGAGGTGAATAGTAAGAGACATGCAATTCAGGAATGATTTTGTTTGAACAACTAATCACAGGTTTGTGGCAACAGCGAAACTCGGTATAAAGGGCGTGCATAAATTTGTCTCAAAACATGCTTCTAGTCTTTGCTTTCCCATTGCAAGCTTCAAAATAACTATTTATTCCATGCATTTATCTGCATGTATATACATGTGTGACCTTGTCCAGCATTGCTAAAGGCACACAGACTTAAAAAAAAAAATCATTAAATCCCCTGGGGAAGCAATATGATGAAATCATGCTCACTCTTGCACCTGAAGTCCCCTCTATGGTACATAATTTTCCTGGCCTGGAGAAACAGTACATGGGGGTGGGGGTGGAAGCCACAGTGCCACTCCAAGCTATTTAGCCATCAACCCTTTACACACTGGCAGCTTATGCCAGTCACTTTAGATTCATGCTGCATGGATATATTGTGAAAAAACTGGTGGCACACTCAATGCCTACAGCACATTGCAGACATTATTGACACCAATGGTTAGCTTTGTGTGAGTCACTGCTAATGAAGGCTGGTTTGCAAACACCTACTTCGAGGTCTGAGACAACAGGTAGTGATTAGCTCAGAATTTCCAGCCCTAACTTTGGGATTAAAACAAAAATAATTCTACAGATAGCTGTCTCTCAATCACCACTGTCTGAAAACATGAGGGAATCAGGACCAGCCATTCTGTCCCTCTCCCCACCCCCAGTACTCCCACATCTTCAAGACAGGCACGCTGAAAGCACCCCAGGAGAAAGGTGTGTCTGATCTGACTGGGTTACAAGCATCCAACACGAGCCCAGGCTCCAAGAATCATTATCAATGCTTTGTTTCCTGAGCAAGTATTACAATGGAGCTTTAGGACCTGTGCTACAGCAGCAGAGGCTGCACAGAAATTGTACGTGCCTTCCATGGATTAGCATGCTTTTGTCTCAGTGCAATCAGGCAAAGGTGTTAGCTGTGTGTACACACAAGTGCAAGCACACACCAATTTCTAATTATTTTGCTCTATTACTTGCACTGAGAAGTTGTCAGCACATCCTAAAAACAAGGATGTTGTCTGGGTCTGCCTACTCAGGAGACACAAGCACAGCAAGATGTAGCACTTAAAAACAAATATCCCAAACCAACCTTCCATGCCTCCCTTCTGCATCAGAGCTCAGCTCACCTGATGTTAGCTGACTCACAACGTAATCATCATGTCAGCAGTACAGAACACACAGCAAAAATGATTAGCTCAAGTTGTACTTTTTATTTTCAGGATTAAAACCCCCCCATGATATAAAGCAGAAAAAACAGATGTAAACCTCAAATTTATCTGCAGTTCAGATGAGGTATCCTGGTTTCACAAAACTGAATCACACAGGTGGGTAAAGCACAAACTGCCAAAAGAAGACAAACTGCACAAAATAAATACTGAGAATTGGTAATTCTTCTTCACCTGGCCCCCTCTGCACCCTTCCACAGTATAAATAATAATAAAAAAATCCATCTGGAAAATACATTTGACATTGAGAAAAATCAAAGAATCTTCTAAATTATCTTTATATAGGATGTGCTGATCAACATTTCTTTCAAAATTAAGAATACACTACAGTTCAATGTAAATGGTATGACAGGTCTAACAAAGGGTAAGAGAAGTACTATTTAAATGGACAACACACAATGCATAAATATTCAGGGATACAAAATGTAAGCAGATTCAGCATACAGTTCTAAAGTTGACAGTCCTATTCCAGTCCCTATAATTAACAGTTTACTTGGTAAGACTTTTAGAGAAATAAATATGCATAGAGAAGTAAACACACTTCAACAGAACAGATGTATTGAATTAGTGGGACTGATATTTTAAATGCAAAATAGAGACTGATTTAACAACCTAAACCAAAGAGCTGATAGGATTACCATTAAAGGTGTCATTAAGTAAATCATCATACTCTTAACACAGTTAGTCCTACATATAATGTGCCCAGCATAAAATTGATTTGCTTTTTACCATATGCTCTGGCTCTTCTACCCATCTGTTGAGCTAAAACCAAAGCTGGAATAAGAATTTTTCAAAGAAGGAAAAAAAAAAAAAATCTTACTTTTCATTGCCAAAAGGATTTCATTTAAACGTGATCTATACTTCAAACAATTTTTTGAGTAAGTTCTGTTCCCCACATTAGACAATTTCTCTGTGCTTTTAACAAGCATTGAAAATTTGCCTCAAGTTTTGTCCCAAACAGTGGTCCTCTGACCAAAAAATTTGCTTATTAGGGTTTGGTAACTATGTCTTCAAGTCAAGATGAAAGTCCTACAAAAACAGCATATGGATGTCATATTAAATACTGCATATTCAAATAAACCTCAAGTCACACATGCTCAGTAAGACTTCCATAGGCAACCCAATTCTAAATCAAAATATCAATGACTTCTATCTCTTTATCTATCTAAGCCCTAAATCTTGGTCTGCTTAATGATGCATCAATGATCTCTGACTCCTGAGACAGGTACACAAAGAAATTATTTCCAAAGGCTTAGTCAGATGAGAGCAGATAAGCATGCTGAGAGAAGCTCTACTCCTGTTTGAGCCAAAATCCCTGCTCAAAAGTGTTTTTCAACCTCACAGTTCTTTTAAACCTCACAGTGCTTTTAAACTCCAACATTCAGGAGCAACAACAGCAAAACCCAGCATGTGTTAGGAGCAAAGCCACCATTTCCCTATTATTCTTTCCTCCAAAGAGGCTTTTTAACAGAATATGAGCAGTCAGCATTTCTACTCTGAATCACAGAATTGTTAAGCTTGGACAAGACCTCCAAGACCATCAAGTCCATCACTGCTGTTTTCATTACTACAGTATATCCTCAAGTGCCATATCCACACAGTGTTGAACACGTCCAGAGATGATGACTCCATTTCCCTGGGCAGTTCAATACATTATGACAGTTGTCCCCAAGCAAAAGCCAACAGACTGTCAGTCTGCAAAATCCTTTTTGTTTTCACCTACAGGACACAGTAAGAGGCTAAAAACTCATAGATGCCCCATAACAAGCATTGGCTACTTCCCATCAGGGATACACACAGAGGTTTTACTGTGCCTCAGATGCGCCCTTAAATTGCACATGGCAACCATCAGTGTGAGAAGAGGAATGCCACCAGTGTGCTTGGCATTCAGACACTGCACACCAGGCAGAGAAATAACAGTCATAAAACAGTGTATACCTAACCTGAGTCTTTAATAACAAACCATTTGCATATTTATTCAAGAATACACAGTTTAAGTACTTTGCCTCACACAGCTGCTTGTATTCTGGCTTCTCCTCTCCCAGCACCTACCAAATGGTCAAGAGGTCAGAACAACTTCTGGGGAGGTTTTCTTCCCAGTCTGTTTAAAAGTGAACTCTACTGCTTTGGGGATATACAAACACGACTAAAACCACTGTATTCACCAGATGTGCATCTACATCAACAGTAAGAACCCCCTGCCTTCTCCTGTGCTCATACCCATCTTCATTCTCCTCAAGCTCACACATCCTGACCCTGCAGGCTGTTATTTGCTGATCTCAGGAGCAGACTGCTCAGGGGTCAGACTTGGCCTCAGTGTGAGCTGCAGTGCTGTCACTCACCTGCCAGACCTGCTCCACTCTGCTGGAGTGGGCTCAGAACTGGGCTGAGCACTACCACACCTTCCATGTGGGCACTGGATGCAAACTACTGCCCTACTTCCTTGATCCTCCCTTCCTGCCCAGCACACCTTTTAATTTTGTAACGCTGGAAAATAGAGTCCACAGCCCAAAGTCCAAGCCTAGATTAGCTCAATTTTGCAAAGCATGAGGAAGTCTGGATATGTTTTGGTGTTGAGTAAGCAAGATAAGCCCATGAATATGGATAGCTTTTCTCTGTGTAACAGAATAGATGAAAGGTAGTTCAGTGCTTGGGATGGTGTCTGACAACTCTAGGAGCAGTTCTAAGCACCAGCATGAATGCTGCCCAGAGCAGCCAAGGGAGACATGTCACACAAATGTTACCTGCCAATTGCCCAACTCACCAATTAAAACAGTCAGGTTCCTCTGGAACACTGGAAGCACACCACCAAGCACTGCTCTGAAATGACACAAAAGTCTCTTCTGACAGGCCAAACTCCCAGAAATGTTCCCCCTCACATACTTAAATCATTAATACTAAATCTATTTTCCATTTCTTTTCCCTCTGCTAACACTCTAAACACCCAGCATGTTTCAAGAGGCAAGAACTAACAGCCAGTACATTAGAGAAACTTCCGAGTTTGCACTTAAAAAAAACCCAAAAACAAAGCCCTGAGCCCATCCATCTCTATTCAAATAAATACAGCAGAAGGACTAATAACAGTCATTGTTTTTAACAATTACTGTGCACGCACAAAACAAATATTGTTTAAGCCAAATAAATATCTTTTGAAGCATATATATGTATAGGTACAGCACAAAATATATTAAGGGTCAAATACAAACATCATACTCACTTCACCTTGCTTTGTCTTCCAGTTCTAGATGGGAACCTTGCAAAAGTATTATTTCTGCCTCGCTGGCATTCAAGCCAAGTTACAGAATCACAGAATATTCTGGGTTGGAAAAAACCCATAAGGGTCATGAATCCAGCCCTTAAATGAATGGCCCATACAGCCTTGGTGTTAACACCCAACTGAGCTCTGAGCACCAAGACAATTTGCAGAAGAAAACGAACAAAACCAAATTCACATGGAGTTTCAGCTGGGACCACGAGTAAAGCAGCAGTAAACATAAAATTCAGCTATTTTAAATAAATAGGAATTATTTATTATTTAATAAATAGGAAAATCCAGGTATTTTAAATAAACTTGCAGACTGAACAGAACTGTCCAAAACAGGTTCTGATGGTTTCAACAACAAGAAAAAAAAGTACCAAACCCAATTATAACCTTCTGCTGTGGTTTTAAAAGGAAGTGTTAAACTAGAAACTTGAACATACTTGCCAAACCCTGATTTTTATGACTTGTCCCCTTTCACTGAGACACAAGTGGAAAGACAATGAGTGACAAGCACTTCCCCCACCCCCAACTCCCTCTGAGAAACGATTCAGTTAAAAAATTCAAGGAACTCTAATGAAAGCCATGCAACCAACAGATAAATCAGATTACAGCCTGCTCTGAACTTGGCCAAGGTTCACATGGAAGGTTTGCAAACCTTTACATTTCTCCTGAGTTGTGACAAGCAAAGAAATAAGGTTGGGATTTTTTCACAGCTGTCAAACCATGATGGCAGATACAGAATAAAACAACAAAAGAAATAACAAATCTGGAGATGAATTTTTCCTTTGAATTAGATATGTAAAAGACAATCCATTCTATAATAAATAAGCTTAGAGGTAAATACAAATTCATAATCAGGAATAATTAGTGCACCAATAGTTTCTTTGGGAAGATGATTGAGCAGAGAAGTATCTGCTAATCAGTCCCTTTTGTGCTTTTTAAAAAAACAGCAATAAATCAGACCATAGGATACTATCAGCTAGTAAATTAAGTGCTGATAAGTACCAACATATGATTGCACTGGCTCAAACATATATGGTCACAATTTCATTGTGAACCAGCACAAAAATAAGTGTGACTAAGGACAGAAGCAGTACTAACACCTACCTGTGCTTGTGTGATTATTGCTTACTCTGTCACAAGCAGGTGAAGGCTGGAGAAATTTCTTAATAGGTGTGGCTCTCTATCTAAAAGCAGAGTTTTCAGGTCTGACTGCAGAATTCACCATCCCATTAGAAATCACAGTGATCCAATATTTGGACTTTGAGCAGTCCATGCACCTCCAGTTCTCTGAATATCAGGCAAACCCCACTTGGTCCACCTCCCTCCAGAGAAGGGCTGCCTGGGTGACAGACGTTCCCAAAGAAAATCTGATGGATTAAAAAACCCCAAGTGACCAAGAGATAAAGAGAAAGGTTCTGCTGTAGTTTCCTAAGTGTCCCAGGAATTCAGGAAAATGAATCCTATATGTCACAGGAAACAGGAATTCAGACTTGAGTTATAATCCTCAAAATTTGAAGACTGAAATATTCTCCAAATTAATGTCAAAAAAATATACTTAAGCACAGTTGCAACTAATTGATTGAAGTAATAATGTAAAATAAAGAGGTCAGGAAGAAAAATTGTGCTAAGCCTTCATCTCTTAGGCCCAAAGGACAGTTTGGATATTCAACACAGTGTTAACAGCTTCCCCCTGAACAACAGCAGCATTGTCTCTTCAAGTAAGTCAGAGGTAGTGTCTAAAAGAGCATAATGAACAGCAGCAGCAGCCTCCAGCTGAGCCCAGCTATGCCAGAGGTGGCCCAAGAACAATGCCATGGGATCAGCAGTGATCCCTGGAGTGAGCCCTGGCCATGGGAAGCGGGCAGGATGCACACACAGGGGTGCTGGGAGGGCGGTCACCAAGGAGATGTGTGCCACAATGGGGTTCATCTGCTCCAGAGGCCAGCCCCTGTCAGCAGCAGATGTGTGCACAGCTCAGCCAGACACAGCACACACAGACACAGCAGCACACACAGACACAGCACTCGGCTCACTCAGTCCACAGACGCCAGGAGAAGGGACCTGGCTGTACGTGATGTTTAACCACGTTTCCTAAAGGAAACTTTTCTTCATAAAGAGAGATTACAACAGGTTTCACTTGACAAGTAAAACATTAAGCATAGTTCAAAGATGTCCACTAAGGAGCACACATGGAACACAGCAATCAGGATTTAAGTTGCAGATTCGTTCTCTTCCAAAAGGAGGTCGTTCAGTGCAATAACTGTAGCAGCAAAATCAACCAGCTCCACAAAGTCTGATGTAATTATGTTAACACCCATAACACCAGGCTTCTGTGCTTTCACCCAGTTCAAAATCATGGGCAGGTTCCTAAAGAAATTGAAAAAAAGAAAATTAAACACTTTAAAAGAGGCACTTTTCTATACATACTCTATTCATTTCAAATACAACACGCTGTTTACAAAATATATTATCTCATTTGTGATCAGGGCTGTCACCCTAAATACAACTGGCTAATGAGTGCTTAACACAGCACGTGGTCATTAGCTATCAAACAGATATATTGGTCAGTCATCAATCCCAGCTAGCAGGCATACAAAACCCCTCTATATTCACTGGGTAGTCTGTGCTTCAGGATTTAGCACTGCACAATTTTCTCCACCGTAGTTTGTTTTCACCCAAGTACATGTTAAGTCAAATGCTCAATTTCACAGCAGACCAGTGTGACACAAAGGTTATACATGGCCCAAGATGCTCCCTTCCCCTTCTCTGCCTCAAAAAAAGTTGTTGGAGGCAGCACATTGCATTTCTCCCAAACTCTCTCCAGCCTCCAGACCCACTCAGAGCAATGGGGTCAGGGAAACCAAATGTAGAATGAGAAGCTGTCAGCTCCATAGGGGTTGAACAACCTGCTACACATCACTATAACTAGATGAAGGAGAGGTGTGTCAGGAACTGAGTTAAATTGAGTTAGAAATTCTACCATGGGGAGAAATAGTCTTTCTTGGACAAGAGTGCAAGTCAGGAGTCTGCACCAGCTTTCTTGGACTCTAACAAGAAACACCACACTTTTCAGCAATTAGACATAAATGGCTATATATGTGAGCATTAATTAGATTAGTGCTGTAATATGCATTCATTATTTGAGAAGATGGTAGGCTAGCAAAATAGCTGACAGGGTGATGAAGACAAAAAAGCAAACCAAAAAAATTAAAAACACTTCACTCCTGTTGCATCAGGACAATAAAAAAAACTTATCAAGAACTATGAATGATGGGATAATTACTGCCAGGGGACACACCAGACTTCAGCCAGCTAAGTGCGACTTGTTGCAAGCCTCCTTTAGCAAGAGCTGAGTACATTTAAATATTCAAATCCAGGGCAAAATTTCCATGCAAGAAGGCAGGCATCTACATAAAACTGCGAGGAGAGATTTGCATATCAGCTAGCTTGTGCAAATGCACACAAATAATCATGACTATGGAAGGAGCACACCTAGCTGCGACTTTCAGTCTAGTTGCAAACAAGTGGGAAGGATGAGGGAAAGGGATGGGGTGATGGTAGGCTTCCCGCTAACAGTGGCTTAGAGCACAGATCTGTGCCAGGAGTGCCTCGAAATAGAGCTGCTCGCCCATTCCACGAAATGCAGCGATCCTGGGGTGGTTTTGTGCCAGGAATTCCGCCGGGCCCGGCGCTCGCGGGCTCCCAGCGCCACCTCGTGCTGGTGTTAAAAATCACCGGCACTCCGTGCTAATCAAAGCAAAACCCTCTTACAGTGACCTTACTCATAGGAAAATTAATTGTACAATGGTCAGCAGTATTAAAAAAAGTCAAACGGAAAATCTAATTTTTGGGAAACCTCCCCCTACAGCCCCCTTAAAATACAAGGTAAAATACTGCCCTATGTCATACATCTCTGCCCCTTACTGAAATTACTGAGACATTTGTATGGACAAATGCAAAACTAAGTGCAGAAATCAGCAGTTTTCCTCCGTGGCACAAGCTTTTTTCACCCCCTCCCACCTCCCCCGCAAATCCAACTTCAGCCGGTTTGAAATGAATTATTGTTTTGAAGCCACACATCCATCCTACATTTTATGAAATCATATCACATTCAGAAAAAGTTCCAATTACCAGGAAACACACATATACCCTGATGCTTTATTATTTGCACTAATTCCTTATTTTTAATGATTGCAAATATCTCTCATGAACAGTACTGAGCAAAACTGCAGCCTTTCAGCAACCCTGAGCAAACACTTCCTAGTTTCCTTCTTGCTCAGTGCCTCTTTCAACATGAGAAATGTTAAATAAAGAACTAAGACAATCAAGATAAGTCCTTACCTATGAACAAGTGTGTTCTTCAGACCACGAATTAGATGCCGTGCAATTGTTTTCACTCGAGGGGTGAGAATTGCCTGAGATACATGGAAAGTCCCATAACGACTTCGTTCCCCAAGTGTGGTCTCCAGGAACTGCAGCAGTTTGTGCACATTAGTTGTATTAGCCCACGGTGCTGGCATTTTATTACCTGGCCACAGGAAGGGGTATTCCTGATACAAAGGGTGATGGTAAAATATGAGAACCTAAGAGAACAAAAAAAAAAAAAAAAGAAAAAGGAAAATCAAACAAACAAAAACCCACAAACCAAAACAAAAATCACAATTACTGTATTTTTATTTGAACAGGCTGCTGCACTGGTTTATGTTCATACAGTACTGTTGCAGCTAGCACAGCAGTGAAGAGGACCAAGCAAAAAAGTTGCTCTTGAGTCATGAGTGTCAGTATATTTGTTGCACTACTGACATAGGAGATGGAAATAATTTTGTTCAGCTTTGGGGACAGGATTGTTTCAGGCTTTGTGGGTTTAAAATGACAAAGTTGCCTTTGTCATTTAAAGAGCTCAGCGCAAAGCACTGCAACTTAATGCCAGAAAACACTGTATCTGTAATCGAAGTTAAGGATTTTACCAGTCTTGCCATCTTCTGAATACCTCCTTCTAAGAGGGCAAAGCGTGCTGGGCTGATTGGCACATGACTGAGATACTGGCACAGTGCTCACACTTGCTGCATGAGAAACCAAAGCCAGTCCTGCTGTCAGCAAAACTGTCAAATCCAAAATAAATATTTTTTACTTTGTAAGGTGCTTCTCTACAGCACAAAAAGGCAATGTTTTTTACAAACACCCACATTTAAAAAAGATTCATCTTGAAGCTTAACACTGACAGCACTAGTTCAGAACAAATTCCTCAAAGCCTCATTTCCAGTTTAAGAATTATATGCTGCTGCTGAAAGCCTTTTCTGGTCTCAGTTTTTGTGTAGCTAAGGGAGCAGTTACCAAGGAGAAGAGGCATTAACATCACCTCTGCAGATCTGGATGGCTGCAAAGGAGGTAAGAAATTCAGTCCATACCTTAGTCATGCTAAAGCTTATATGCTTCACACTGGCCAGAAAGACAACAGTTAATCAAATCCTCACCAACACAAGTCTGCATTATGTGCCCTTCCACAAGAGAAAACCCTTTGTAAGGAGCACAAGGCTCCAAGGACACTATAGTTTAATTATTTAACAATGTGCTTGGGAGCAGGACAGACTGGCCACACCATGGATGAGGGGATACATAGCTATATGTAAATAGAGGCAAGCATGCACACTACATAGAGGAGGCCCTAGTGGGCTTTAACTTGACCATCAGCAGCATCTTTGGTCCAACATCTTTGAGTGGGAGCTACACCAGGCTTATCTCTTTAAAATCTTAACATTTTGGGTTTGAAAAACATTAAACATCCTTTCCCTACCTGGTGTTTCTTCTTCCACATGTACAGTAACGTCACATATTCTACACATTCAACACAACAAAGTTTGGATTCAAATGCTGAGCGGATCCTGCTAATCAAGAAGTGGTGATGGCTGTCATCCATGGCATAGAAATGATTGAAATCCAAGAAGATTACTTCCTTGGGGTGCTGCTCAAGAAAACTGTTCATCTCCATCAGGCCATCCCATACTTTGATACCAAACAAGCCATGTATGAAGTAAATCTCTTGTTCTATTTCCCCAGGTTTGGAAGAGACACGAAGATCAAAGTAGCGGATCCCGCCTTCCAACTGCTCTTTGAAAGTCAAATTTTGAGTCACTGACCATTTCTTCATGATCTTTCTAACCAAAGAAATTCTGGCCAAACGTTTGATGGCTTTTGCTTGGTCTGGTCCCACAGGAGATTTCTCATCAACCCAGTAGCTGAAAGAATCATGTGATCCTAGGAAAAAAGCCAAGAAAAATTAATTTTCAAAAAAGTGACTATCCCATAACACATGTGCCCTGAAAACTGAACAAAGTCCTACATGTGTGACAGGGGTGCAGAAACATTATGCTCATGTGTGAATCTTTCAGATTGTCCTTTACACCTTACTTTTCCTTGACAGTATAACAAGAGTTAAGCATAAGGTTCTCAGTTTGAACTACTTTCTTGCATGAGCTCCCAATTTCAATGTTCTCTGAACAACACAAAACAAACATTTGTGGTAAAGGGAAACCCCCTTCTAACCTTCCTTCATTCCCTCCTTCACAAACTACAAATCAATCCCCAAAGCCTTCCCAGAGCCTGGTATATGACTGATCTAGGATGAGACTCCAGATTAATTTTAAAAATCTGAGACTTTAGTTCTACTTGGCATATCCAACTGTAACCTTAGACACCAAACATCTTGGAACAGGTCTCTTTATTCACATAATGGACTGAGGGATCTGCACGTGCCTTATCAGCACATCTCACTTTAGCCCCGAGATGGCAGATAAATGATCAGTAGTTTGAACAGTGGGCAGTGACTGGCTGGACTTAGAGGTGGAACAATTCAACACACCACCAGTTACAGTGTGGATAGATACCAAGCTCATGATAAACAAATCCATGAACATGTCTTTTACCTGGCATGCTTCTCAGTGACCATAGAAAATTCATCAAAAAAGTACAACCAACAATCATAATCACCAGTCCCTACCAAAATAATGCACATCCAAAAAAGCTCCTGTAACACAATCTGTACCTTAGCAGAGAAACTGCATCTCCAATATAAAATTTTTGCTTACTAGAAAAACCTCCAATTGAAAATTCAGTAGTAAATAGGAAAAAAACGGAGAAGTAACAAAGCTCCAAAAAAAAAAAAAAATTGAGAGTCAATGAAATATCCCTACCTTAGCCAAATCAGTAACAGAACAAAGAGTGAAAAGGCAGTGTATTTTGGTCTGCACTGTACCAGAACAGCATAAAGCAAAGACTGGCAGAAGCTGATCCACAACAGACTAGAGTTTACTGAGGATTTGTGATCATTTGTACCAGGCACCAGCAATCTAGCCAAGAAGCTGTAGCTGCTCCAGGCTCACCTTCCTTGTGAAGCTCCAGCCAGCAAAAACATTATTAGGAGCTCCAACAGCCCTTGCTACCCTTTGTCTCCAGGACAGGAGAAGAGAGTTTGCCCATTAAGCCAAACTCTGCTGAAGTGCAGAGAAAGCATCTTCACTCAAGCAGCTCATTTTCCAGCTGCCCCAGGGTACAGTGACACGGCACCATGCTGCTGGCACCTGTGTTTTACATTCCTGCATGCTTGTCCCTGCTTCTAGGACTATGCTTTTATCAAATTTCCTCCTCTGCCTCAGTCTGCAACTCTTTGAAATCCCAATCTCAAGATAACATTTGAGGCGTTCACAGCCTCCTTTATCCAAACCTTTTATTCATGTACCAGTGCTCACTTGAACACTGATGCATTTTGTGTGATGCAAGATCAGAGATCCAAACAAGATTATGATCTTAATTGGATTATCTTGGCATCTTTAATCCAGATGAAAGAACAGACTGTGCACAAACTAAACATCACTTCTCAATAACCTTAAACGCACTCCTTTTCCATGGATTTTAACTAGTTCAAAACCAGTGAACAGGTAGTGTGAAAGTTTGTTTTCAAGCTTTACAAATGAATGCTAAAACTAATTCTGACCAATTCTTCATGAATTCTTCACAGCATTTGTACAAGTGGGTCTCAGTTATGGCTTGCTGTTCAGTCTTCTAGGCAGAAGTGAGAAGCGCCAAAGATGCCATCTTAAGCAACTTTTTAGTACCTGTCCCAGTAAACAACATCACAAAGTGGCCATCAGTTGTGGAGCAACACCTGGATTTTTTTCCCTGTCTCCAAAACTGCAACCCCAAACAAAATCCAGGAGCAAACATCTAGTGAAGACATTTCAGAAGCCATATGATGCTTCAAGCTGTAGTTTACAGATATTTGAGTTTCATCTACCTCCCTGTACAGCAGAGTGAGTCATTCAAGCTTCTACAATATTTGGAAAGTAGACTTTAATCACAAGGGGCTTGCCTTCTGCCTGGGAATTAGTAGCTCTGCACAAATAAATTGTTCATTTGGTTATGTTTTCTGTTCGTTTTTTTCCTAGTTCTTAATTCTATCGATTTTTATTTTTTCTTCTGTTTAGGTCACTGTAGAAGACAGTTTAACATCACAGAATAATGACATAAGAAATATTTTCAAATTAACTAAGACAGTGCAGCATTCTTGAGACCTATAGGAGTCACTCACACCATTATGCTCCCTCAGACTGATAAATCTCATTAGAAAGGAATGAGAATTTTATCTTGCCACTGATATATTGTCGTCACCTCAGAGCTGTCTAAGTAAATCTGAACCAAAAAACAACGAATTTTCCTAATTGTGATAATTCACTTTACAGCTACAAAATTATTTCCTTTGCAGTTTGACACTTACAAGGATACAAAGCAAATTTTCTCCCTGCACTATCACAAACCAAATCCTATTTATAGGCTAGCACTAGAAAGCAGTATCAAAAAAGAAAAAAACCCAATCCACAAAAAACCCAAACAAGTCACTACATTGCAACTTTTTCAACATGTACTTTAAAAACTGCACTCCTTACCAGGAAACTGAACTATGTGTGACATGCTTCTATAGTTAGAGAAGATTTTATTAGCTCCTGCCCCATGGCTCTGCTAAAAGCCTAGGAAATGGAGCTTTCCTCCTACATCCAAGTCAACACATATACCTAGATATAATCAAGTAGAACATGAGTTGGAGCATTTGCAAAACATCTTCACTGTTGGTAGCAAATCACCTTCTAAAGAGGGCAGGGGAGCATCACCAATTCTGTTGATCATTCTGTGATCAATACTGAGGCTGGAAAGACAGCATAAGTTCATTTGGGTCTTCAGTGGTCATTTAAAAAGGCCAGTCAACAATAACTAGGCCAAACCTGGACCCACAGTGTTTTGACTCCGGTAAGGGTGAAAAAACCCCAAACTGAAACCCTGCAGCAACAGCACTGGATACTTGTGGGTCTGTGGGGTAACAGCAAGGTAAAGACCCACATCTCCACCAGGCCCCTCTTTAATTTAAGATCACTGTGATATACTACCAGCTCAGGCACTGCCTTTTAATATAGCTTAGCTGTGATGCTAAGTACATGCTAAGCTGATTGCATCAGGATGTCAAAATAATCCCTGCTGTTCTTTGCTCTATCCCTAAACTCATAAAAAGTCTTGCTTGCTGATACATGTGATACAGCACGATTTCTTTTTGAAAAAGCATAACCTAAACCAACCCAAATCTGTAAAACTTCCCAGGCAAAGGGCAGAGCCTACATGGCAAGAGGGGAGCAGAGCAGCCCCACTTTGTCAGGAGCTCAGTGCAAGAGCTTGCTAAGCAGATTCTCAATTCATGTCTTACACAAGGACATGTGAAGGTACTTGGACACTGTGCAGTGACAGCAGCAAGGCTGGCAGTTCCTGGACAGAGCAAGAACCACAAAACTCTCATAGCAACACACACTGTAAAGTTTTTCCATGTGTAAATAATCCCTCACCATCTGTTGTCCCCTATCACATAAATAATGTGCATTGCTGCAAATTATGCTGAGTACTTTTCTTGGGAAAAAAGCAATCTCAAGAATTACTGAAGCAAGACATTTCACACTATAATTAACAACTTAAATATAAACAATGCCCTATTCAGTAAAGCTATTCCTTAAACCTACTAATTGTGAACAAAGCAACTAACAAGGCCAGGTTTCATCCATGGAGAAGCCAAAAGGCAGAGAAGAGCCAAGAAAATTTATCTTCATTGTCCTTTAGGTAAGGAGAGGCCAGGAGCCCAGCCTGAACCGCCTCAAAAGCACGTCCTTGCACGTGCAGAACATGGAATTACTGTACACAAAACCGGATTAGCGTTCAGATAGCAAACCTTACTGAGCTGCTCTAGTGACATGGCATCAGACTGGTGCTCAGACCTTCCCAAAATCAAGTCAGGCACAGGAAATACAAGGAAGAGATGAAGATTTGCCAGTTGGTTCAAACTGGGTGAAGATGTGCAGCGTGAAGCAGCAAGCATTAAATTTAATCATGAAAGAGACTGCACATTCAAAGACAAAAATTAGGGAACTGCTAATCAGCTGGCAGCTTTATTTCAGTTTCATTTCTTTCATCTGACAAAGACTGGCAGCTTCAAGGAAAGGAGTCACATGCCAACAAATACCCATATATTTAACTACCCAAAGCTGTATTATTGTTAGAATAATATTATATAGGCATCTTCCAGATGCCAGACTTAAAATGATGGACAGACCTCTTAACTTTATCCCAGTAATTGCAACTGTGAATTAAATTTCATTCATATCTTTAAGCTTATTTTTTTCTGCTTGTACTAATTCCTCAAATTAATTTTATGTTAAACAGCTCACTTTTCAATTTATATGTTAAATAGATTGTATTTCACTGTTCAGGATGACTTCTTGTTGAAGCCCTCGTGCTAATTGTTAGACAGCAGCCTTTTATCATCACATCTGCAGCAAAATCTAACTTCCCAGTGTGCTCATTTGTCATGCTACTTACAGATAGTCAAAGTAACCCATGGTGGAGCTGAAACAAAGGAAACTCATCAACAGAATGTTATCGAGCCTCCAATGTCAACAAATACCAGCTACAGCTGTTCACTCTCCTGACCAGTGACAGAATTCAGGAAACAGCACAAAGCTGAGTTGGGAGGCTTACACTGGATCTTGGAAAAAGGTTCTTCACTCCTGTGGTGGCTAAACAGTGGAACAGGGAAGTGGGCACAGCACTGACCAAGTTCAAGGAGTGTTTGGATAATGCTTTCAGGCACAGGGTGTGACTCTTGGGGGTGTCCTGGGCAGGGCCAGCAGTTGGACTTGATGATCCTGTGGGTCCCTTCAGCATGTTCT